CCCCCCCCCCCCCCCCCCCCCCCCCCCCCCCCCCCCGCCCCCCTCATAGTACAACCAACAACACAACTGTGAATATTCCCGTCCAGCCGCATAAGGCAAACTTTTCGAAAAACTGATTTTTAACACATCCGAAGATCATATTCATATTTATATGGCCAAATAATACCACTGATAATGGCCTCATAAACATGGCCCTATAACACTGTATATTGATTGTTCAAACAACTTTCATAAGTTAAACAATAACTTGTTAAATCAAAACCAAAAAATAATAAAATTTCAGCTTCCTAACTTCTTTGGTTCCCGAGATAATAATTTTCCTTGCCAAAACTTTCACGAGGACGTACGTATTATCCGCAGGCACAGGAGGGCTGAGTTTAAACTTGCGGGGTCATAGGTGGACGGCGAACATTCCCTTAAATTTTCAGCTTCCTAGCTTTTGTGGTTCCCGAACTGAAAGTTGCAGACAGGATGCATTGGACACACATACACACACACACACACACATACACACAAACACACCCAGACAATCCCGTGACAATATGCGTTTTGTGCAGCTGTTGCACAGCATAAAACGTACGAAAATCTTTTCAGCATTTAATTCATGAAAGGCTACTGAAAATCCCCATATTTAAAGATTGTTTACAAGCAAGCTGATGAAAAAAAATATGCCAATCTGTTATTTAAACGAATGAACTAATGGTAGCGAGATTAGGATTAAACCTTGCGGAGTTAAACCTTCGATTTTTTTTTGGCAAAACAATGGAATTACTGGCACTGTACTATGCCCACGACAAAAATCACTGATTATAAAAAAAAATTAATTTTAATATTATAAAATAAAACAATTTTATATACTAAAATAAAATAATTTAATACCAAAATTAATAATTTAATACCAAAACGAATAATTTAACACTAAAATTAATAATTTAATACTAAAATTAATAACTTAATACAAAAATAAATATTTTAATAGTAAAATTTAATACTAAATTTAATACTAAAACAAAACAATAAAATAATTTTATTACAATTTTTAGTTTTTATTTTAAAAAAACTAATTCAAAAAACTGATAAAAACTGAAAGAAAAAAATTATTTTTTTTTGCATTGCGAAGATACCTCAATAACTTTGTTTGCTCCTTGACTGTCCGCTTGCATTCGACGTCGGCGTAAAAACTCCTTCTTCCGAGCAACCGGATCTTTATGGGTGGCTGAACTTGGAACCGAACTGATCGATGAGGATGGACTTTGTCCAGCCAATTTCATCTAAATTTTTAGACAGCAAATAGAAAAAACCCATAATAAAGTCAGGAGGAATCAGTGCTCCATTATGTGACATCATTTGAGTTCATTGTCAAATCAGGGCAGTCCAAATGATGATGAGGTGTTATTGGCGCATCATACACAACACACGTCCAGGGTGTCTCGTGCCAGCACAACGTGTTAGCTTTTATGCTTTGTGTTTGCTTTATGCCAGACTTCCCCCTCCCCAGGGAACCGGTAAATGATGTCAGCCAATCAACAAAGCAATAGTAACAATACTTGTTTTTTTAGCAGTATTTTTCATTCGAGGAAAGGGGTAGGGGGGGGGGGCGGAGGGATGGAACTTCGTGGTGGCAAAATGAATGTTTTGAAAGACAAAACTGAACCGATAAAGTTACAGCAGGAAATGGCCCGAAATCAGTGGTGGGCCAAGCAACGCCAAACAAACTGCATATGTTTTTTTTTTAATTTTATTACGATCTTTTTATAACTTGCGAAAACATATTTTTTTTTGTAAAAGCATAGACGATTTTAGGCCCCCTCCCGCCCCCCATCCTCTCCCAATCTTCCACGGCAGGAATATTCACTGTTTTTATGTCTGTAAAATTTCTACAACACTTAATGATTTGGTTTTTGTGTACAAATTAATCAGTGACGGTACTGATTTGGATAAAAGTGAAATTTAGAATTTTAGCCTGAATTCCATCAATACTAATAGACCTTATGGCTTAAAATTCCACTCGCAATTACTAAAAAGAAATATCAATTGCGGGGGAGGGGGGTTTCGAGGCGCTAATTCCGAAAATCTGGAACGACTTTTCGTGTTCTGAATTCTATCGATACTAGAGTGCTGATAGCTCAAAATTTCGCCCGCAATTATAAAAACAAATATCGGATTGGGGGGAATTCGACGCGCGAATTATGAAAATATGGAATGATCTTCGATCTGTAGACGCTGTTCTTGTTCATTCTATGATGAACTTAGACGGAACTATGCCCTCTCATTACAGACGCACTGTAAATTAGCACTTTTATCACTATTAGCACTTTTTCTTAACCAAATTTGGTACGTTAATTAAAACCAGCTTTATGAATAAATGTATT